ATGCATGGACTCAGCTTCACAGTGAGAGGTATAATACATTTTAGTGTAGCTGCAATATTGCAATAGTACTCAAGCAATCTTTCCACTACAACTAAAAATATATTTGTACAAGCAGTAATTTACACCTACAACTCGTTCATGTCAATAGATTGTGCGGTGTCAAAGCCAGGTAAAATATTTAAGGTACTTTTGTACATATGTATCCTACCACATTGAAACCAGTGTAGTCAACAGTGATGAAAGTCCTCTGGATTTTCCCGGAATTCCGGATTTTCAAATTTTAATGAAAATTTCTCCGGAGAATTGAGGAAAAATTGCCTAAAATTAATGCAGATATTTGTTGACAACATTGAACGAACACGCGTTTGAGTTTGTTGTTTTGCTTTCACGAGCGTAGCCATGTTGAGGCACTAACACTAGTAACAGTAAAGAGATTTTTGTCTCTTTATAAACACACTTGTTAAACCCCAGTGGAACGAATAAAAGACACCATGGACAAGACAGTTGTCGTCGTAAAAAAGGGAAACACACAGATTGGCAGAAAAACGTGTCCGTCCAACTTAGTGTCGTCTCGGCTAGCTTAGCTTAGCTGTTATCGTATGTCGTGTGTGACCTCGGTTGCGTCGACGCTGATTGGTTGAAATCAAAAGACGTGCTTGCGTACATGTTCTCGTTGACGCATGCACAGCAGAAAGCAGTGGACTATCGACTGCTGAGGTGCGCTTTGCTCGAGTGGCGTCGCCACAACAGTAACACCCTCGCCTCACATTCTCATGGCCTCGCCATATCTCGGAGATTTAGAAATTTCAGCGAGAACGGAAGCCACAAAGGGTGCACGTGTGCACACTAAAGGAAGATTAATCATTGAATGTCGAGTATTCGAATAGCGTTTTGTGTCAACTAATTCATGCGTGATCGGCCAAGTGTGTGTGTGTGTGTGTGTGTGTGTGTGTGTGTGTGTATTGGTACGTAATTACTAAAAAGGTGGTGTGTGTGTATATATATATATATATATTTTTTTTTTTCCGGAATTTTCAGAAAAGTCCACTTTCATCTCTGAGTCAAAGACCATGAAGTCATACAATTTGGCACTGCACCCAATATTTTGAGAAGCATAAGCTGCCTTCATTGTGCGCTTCCAAGCCACCATCCTACAACAAGTTCAGTTCAGCCCAACAAAAATCATGGAGCTAATTTTCTTTGTCGATTTGCTTGAGAGCTTGTTGTACATGTACTGCTGAGCTCAGACTCCACAGTTTTTTTTTGTTTTTTTTTAAGGGGGGGTGTTGACGACAGTAGCTATGTCACATTACCAGACATGTCATAAATTTGTTCTGTGTTTTGGCCTGGGTGAGTGGCCACTCGACAACTCTGACACACACCAGACCCCGCCCAATCATCGTGTCAGGCCGCCAGAAGCACAGTCCCACAGCACAGGTCGTTGCGGAGACGGGACAAAAAGAAGAGTCCAGGCAGCAGGGAAAACAGTATGTGGGCATGCAGGATGACGGGACACGATGCTGATGCCTCACATCTCGGGCCGAAAAGAGAACGAGAGCACGTTGGTCTGGGTGTGAAAAATCAGTTCAGATTTTCTTCCAGGCCAGATCAACAGTTTGATACTGATCACATTTATATGTAGTCAATAACCCGTTCAAAACCCCAATCTTGGCAATTTTCAGGTTTTGAAAGGCCATGCAAATGTTGAAAAATGTGAATATGCTCATAATCAAGTTTCTAAAAATCCCTGGGTACCCCCTTCTCTACCCTGAATATTTGTTCACATAAAATATAAATATTGGTTTATGTTCTGCGTATGCTTTATCTACAAGGATTCTTGCATCTTTTGAGTCCAGGATGTATTTGAATGCATGGCGATGCCGCCTTCTTGCCGTAACGAGAAGTGAAGCTACCGGCGGCCGTCTTACGTTGCCACTTGCTAAGCGAGGCTAACTTGAATACATTGATTTCTCCATGGCGTATTCACGTTAATTTCTGTCTCAATGGCGAAAATGACAGTGTGTGTACATAGGCACAATAATACATGTGTAGATAAGTTTGCGTGTCTGCCGTGCGACTTACCGGAAATACACAAACATGGCGAAACTTACGCAGCACAGAACCACACATTTTGAGCGAGGAGGAAACCGTCTGCTTCATTATCGTGGTGAGTGACATTAGAATGTGTTTTATTGATGGTAAAAGGTAAGAAGCGAAATGACGTTTATTTGCGTCATGACATTGTCTGTCGGTCGCCATTGGATATTCCAATTGATCAAACTTACTGCGTATGTGGGACTTTGTCTGCTCACACGTGTAAACAGGTTATTGTTATTGTTTCAGAAACCAAAATTTTGACCATCAGCCGAATAAGGACCGCCGGTGAACGTAGTCACTCACACGGGACAGCGCTTCAAGACAACTCATAATTGGCCATGACAGTGACCATTTGTCTGTGATGTGTTCAAATCGGCCTACATTTGTGTATTCGGAGCTTGGCATTATGAGAGCTCATAGTTAACTAGCTAGCTCCATGTCCTTTTTAACAATTCTTTGATATGTCTTGAAGATCATTTTATATGGTTTATGCGGTTGTACTGTGACATCTGCCATATAACCGAAACCGAATCTGTGTATCTGTTCTGACATGTAATTGTAGGCGACAACTCCAAATTACAACTTGTCAACAAGGAATAAATGGACTGTAGTGGTAAATAAGAAAGTAAAAGCTCAGTGCACAATGGGGTCGCCCATTCATTTGTCAGAACATGATCATGTATCGAGGGCCAATGCTTTTCTTGGAAAGCTGATGTTAGAATGTATCAGGAAAGACAGTATGCCCAGCTCCCCCATATGTTTCCAATTTAATAATGCATCCATCGTGAGCGCTTCAAGTGTCCAGAAATGTTAAGTTAAATTGGGGTGAGGTGACTATTTTACTGTACCATTAGAGGGTTTCTGTCGGTCGCCATTGGATATTCCAATTGATCAAACTTACTGCGTATGTGGGACTTTGTCTGCTCACACGTGTAAACAGGTTATTGTTATTGTTTCAGAAACCAAAATTTTGACCATCAGCCGAATAAGGACCGCCGGTGAACGTAGTCACTCACACGGGACAGCGCTTCAAGACAACTCATAATTGGCCATGACAGTGACCATTTGTCTGTGATGTGTTCAAATCGGCCTACATTTGTGTATTCGGAGCTTGGCATTATGAGAGCTCATAGTTAACTAGCTAGCTCCATGTCCTTTTTAACAATTCTTTGATATGTCTTGAAGATCATTTTATATGGTTTATGCGGTTGTACTGTGACATCTGCCATATAACCGAAACCGAATCTGTGTATCTGTTCTGACATGTAATTGTAGGCGACAACTCCAAATTACAACTTGTCAACAAGGAATAAATGGACTGTAGTGGTAAATAAGAAAGTAAAAGCTCAGTGCACAATGGGGTCGCCCATTCATTTGTCAGAACATGATCATGTATCGAGGGCCAATGCTTTTCTTGGAAAGCTGATGTTAGAATGTATCAGGAAAGACAGTATGCCCAGCTCCCCCATATGTTTCCAATTTAATAATGCATCCATCGTGAGCGCTTCAAGTGTCCAGAAATGTTAAGTTAAATTGGGGTGAGGTGACTATTTTACTGTACCATTAGAGGGTTTCTTTAAAGTAAGGGTAGTTCAGCTGCCGTGGGTCTTTTTGAGCACGAGTCATGTGACCATGCACATACTCAGACCTGACCCTGAGATCCTATGCGATGATCTCAGTTGACTGATGCCAACCGCCCCGATGTTGGTGTTTATGGAGCGGCCTGGTCTGTAGGAAGGGAGAACCAAAGTTAAATAAATACACTCTCCATCCGTTCTGCATTAAGGGCTTGCACACATGGCTTTGACGTCAGAGTGACATTAAACAGGGTGGGGTTGCCCAACGAGCTCTGACAGGCACGTGTGTGCGTGGAGGCACACACACACACACACACACACACACACACACACACACACACACACACACACACACACACACACACACACACACACTTAATTATGCTCCTTCCCCCACCTTTTCCACTGCTCTTTCCACCTGACTTCAAAATTAGATGACAGCTTCTCATTTCCTTTCTTTATTGTAAATCCATAACAAAACACTTCTGTGACGTCTTCACCAGTCATTGTTGTTTTTTCGCTCAATTGTATCCAAGGATTTGTACTCTAAATATCTTGCCATCTGACTGGGCCAATTTATTCTTCAATTTTATGTAGAATTTTTTCTGGGTGGCTATTTGCTGCATTATGTGTACAATGAAACTCCTCTACAGCGAAACCTACATGGGCGAAAATACCCCCTAGTGTGAAAAAATCAATATGCATTAACACCATTCCCACTCTCCTGCCCCCATACAACGAAACCCCCCCCTGTTGCGTTATACGAAATCTTTTTCTCTGCTCTTTCCTCGCGACAAGATTCACTACAACGAAGTCTAATCCAACAGCGACCTCTACTCCTTCGTTCGGAAACAGCAAGAGCAACCACCACACTGGTTTACACATGCACAGTAGTCCAGGAAGTATTTGTTGTTGTTAGTTTCAGACGCAGCAAGAACTTTGCATTGCTAAAATGGCTACAAAACGGACCTTTGGATGTCAAGCAGCGAAGACAAAAAGAGCTCTGACGCTGGAAGAGAGGGTAAAAGTGATCAAAATGAAAGACGGAGGAAGCAAAATAAAAGACATTATCCAAGAAATTGATGTAAGTGAAAGTGAATGCTGATCGTAAATTTCGCAATTTCTTTGCGGCGGCCGCAAAACATAAACGCCCCTCGGATCGACTTGGGACCAGTCCTTGATCTACTGGTTGATCGCGATCGATGTAATGGGCACCCCTGCACTAGAGCCTTTGTCACACCAATATAGCAAACATGCTCACGTATACATGAGGAAAGATGTGATGTCGTGGTGCCACTATTGATTGTCTGTGTTTTGGACCCTCAGGTGGCGGAGGGAAGAGGAATGGTCGCAGCAAGAAGTGGAAGGAGATGCTAAAACTACCCCATATCAGCCAGTGTGAGGAGCTGCGTCGCATTATTGGTAAGACATTGGTTTGAGACAGAATGATAATGTGTCATGCTATGTCAAAGGGTTGGGTCGGCCTGCAGGAGGAAGCTCAGATGGGACTTCCTTCCTCTTTGGCGTCAACACCCACCCGTAGGCGGGACACAGGAAACTATTTGTGTATGAGTGTGTCTGACTCAAGGAATTGTCTGCTCAGCCATTTCTTTATGTCTGTTTTTTTGTCTGTTCATATGCCAAACTTGAGTCCTACACCGAGGTTTAGCTTGAGAGTAATGAGTAGGACTCCATTCATTAGCAGGTATTTTGAGTCTTCGGCCCTGTCCACTAAACACTTTTTTTTTTTTTGTTAGTTTCAACGTTTCGTCCAAATGGGCCCTGCCCAAAAATGATAATTTTTTGAGAGAGGGTCTGATTGTGGATGGAGAGTATTCTCAAAATGCTGCCCTCATGATTCTGTGTGAACAAAACATGCGCCTCTCCTGAGATGATGATGTGGTTGTTCCAGTTCTCGCAAGACCATGCACGAAGACCACCATCAGCAACAACAACATTGGTGGCTCATTGTGTTGTATGTTGTTTGTACCTTGACCGTGATCTAAGTTCTCCCTTGTTTTCAGTCACATCAAGTTTTCAATTGCTGTAAGAATATTTTCACCCCACAGACTTATCTGTTTTTGTTGACTTCCTGGGGCAACAATGCCGCCTGGCTGGCATATAAACGACAGTGTTTAACTCTTCCTGTGGACAACTATACTGTTTATTAAAAAAAAGCTTTGTTTACACAAAACCTTACAAAACAAATAAGAAAAATATTGACTCCTTTTCCACGTGGATGGGGCTGAAAGAGACCCCATGGTCTCCCGCCTAAAGTAGGTGTGGTGTGTGTGCATTCACATGTAACAGTGGGTCACAGCTTCCTCTGCTGTTGCAGCTCTAACCACACTCCCCAGCCCCACATTCACACCCCTCCCTACTTTCCATCTGCCTCCCCCTCCCACTATCTGCCTTTCTTTCAATCATTTGGTCCTCCACTTCAGAGCAACAGGAGAATCAGGAGAAATTGCAATTGAAAAAAAAATGCCTTTTACGATAAGAAAGAAAAGCACTGTCAAAGTTGCCAAGAAGTTAGCGAAATGAGTGGCAAGAGAAAAGCAGGGAAGATGAGTTGTGGATGTGGTTATAACACAAACCACAATGAAACAAAACATTAAAAGTATCGCTCAGGAGTTTGTTTAAAAAAAAAAAAAAAAAAAAAAGCACATACACGATCTGTCTCTTCAAGTGTGAAGAAAAAAATGTTTAGTGTGTGTGCGTGCGTGTGTGTTTCTGCACTCAGCAGCTGCTAAGGGTTTCATACGTCACTGTTACATAGAGGCTATTGCGTAATTTCCCTATCACACACAGCGCAGTATCAAAATAATCTCCTTTGCAGACTTAAACACACCGACCATGTGGACACACACACACACACACACACACACACACACACGCCTTGCTCGTGTTTTCGCAGGGGATGGAAAGATACAGCCCTTATGAAAGGAAAATATATTTTCCAATATATTAACTGTAATATATTATTATATACAGTAAATATTCTCTAGTGCGGACTCGTGTTTGCGCTGTCCAATTTGTCCTGATAACAGAAATTCCTCAATTGGGAAATGAGCATGGTACATGTCCTTTATGAACCTGCAAGTATGTTGACAAAATGCACGTGTAACAACACAATCAATAAAATACAAAAATATACTGTCCAAAAACTGTTTATATAACAAAAACTGCAATACAGGTGTATCAAAAAAAATCACAACAGTAAAATACGTACAGTATTTTAATGTTTTTTTTCTGTCTTGGGATGCATTCTTTGGTTTATGACAATGTTTGCCTGCGTGTCATACAGTTTTCTTGCTAGTTGCAAGTAACTGTCCCGTTGATCACCGATGTCTGGTAATTCTTGTGCATACTGACGGATTTTTGTTGCCATT